AAGACTCACAGGAGACTCAAGGTCGTGTACCCCCATGGCTGCAACAGTCCGAGAACATTGATAATCTTCAGAAATATTAGTACATTGTCTCATAGAAAGAATGGCCATGAATTTGATAGAATTTCCCATGAGAAGGTTACAAAGACAAACATTTCAGACTTTCACAGCACGCTTCAGTAACTCTGTGAGAAACACCCCCACACACCCACTTTTTTTCTCTCTTTAGCATTGTGAACACTGAGAGCCCTGGGAGAATCTGAGGAAAGATTGGGTGGGAACGCATGGGAGAGGCAAGGAGAGCGCTTATAGAAGAGGAGTGCTACAGTGGGTCAGCCTGGAGAATGCAGAAATTGACTTCTAAGCAGATGCAGTAATTCCATTTCCACCCTTTTAAATTCGGTATGCAGGGGCCAGCGGGTAACTCTAAACCCACTATCGCTGCTGCACACAGAAGGCAGGAGGCGTAGTCGACAGTTGGTGGCTGGGGCCACCAAGTCTATCGGCCTTGTTAATCAATACGGGTTCCAGTCCGATAGGCGGCGATTGGTGTAACTGATGCTCATTCTTCTGCTGCGTTCACCCTGATGGGAGGAGGAGGCACCTGTTTTCTGTGGCTTTCACCTGAAGTTCACAGCTCAACGAGGGGCGACTGGCCCAGCACAAGACCTCTGGATCAGACCCAAAGTATTTCTGCTCATTCTTTCACATAACGAACACTGAAATCCCTGAGCTCTCACAAACCTACATGATAAAAAATTACCGCATCTATTCAAGTATAATTAAAATCAAATCCATAAAATCATCCATGAAGTTGGGGAGTAGTATTATACCAGGATAAATGTTTTTACTTATGTATTTTAACTGAAATATCAGCAAAATGCCTGAGTCTGGAAATGAGACCGCGTCGTAAAAAGCAGTTGAAACGAGCTCAGCTCTGACACTCCTCTGTGCTTCAGAGCGAGATAATAACAGATCCAGGCAGGAGACATGATGTGAAAAAAGGGGGAAAAAGTATTCCTGCACCTTAGTAATGATAACGAACTAATGACATTAGCGTGTGACCGGGCCGCTCCTCTAATAACAACAAACACATGTCCGTCTGTAATGGCTGCCGTCTACCGGTGTTCTGAAAACATTTGTATCCCTGAAAAAAAGTTTCCCCACCAGAGGGGGCGCTCACGAGTAGGAAGTAATCTGCCTTTCCCCCACAAGATGGTCCAAATCTCATGTGAAGTCTCTGACTTTTGTGTTGGCGCCTCCTGGTGGACTATGTGTAAAATGCCAGAATTCATATGATGCTGCTACAGCTGATATATATTTGTTGTCAAAATTCCTTTTAGTACATATGTTGTTAAAATAAAATGAACAGTCCAATGATCATTTTACTGATATGTATAAAGACTGCAAAATCTTGAAGTCTGTATGAAATTGGAGGTAGTTTGAGGATTAAAATTTTTATGCTTTTTAAGCTCAAAAAGGGGGGGGGTTGTATTATACGTGAGATCTTATTATGCATGAATAAATATGGTAGTTTCAATAGTCTGACAGACTTTAATAGAAGTTGTTGAACTTTTGACATGAACACTATGAAACACTATCCACTGGTTTAAGTACAAGACAAATGCATACTGCGTAAACAAAATGCAGTTTTACATAGTTTGAGATGAAAGACAAACTTCTTTCTCTAAAATGTTTAAAAACAGAATATGAAATGAAGCATTTGGAGACTAAAATGGCAGATGCTGCATTAAAATGGGATGAATTAAGAAAAACCTGCACACTTATTTGTCCGCTCATGGACTGATTTATTTGACAAAACTTTGATCCAAACTGGACACTTGTCAGGACATTCCTCTCTATAGAAACCATGCAGCCAATCATCTTTATCTGTGATTTTCATAAACCTGTCATACCAGGTAACTTAAGATCAGGCAACAAGTTGACTGAATAAATATAATGTTTTGAAATCGTAAAGTTATTTATATCAGTTTTTATGTCATGATTGAGGGGTATTGGTGATCAGTGTCACTGTCTTGTTTCCTGAGGCTGCAGCTTTGAGTCCAGAYGTTTTTTTATATCATAAAATAATAACGTCACATCAGTATTTGAATATTGAATATTTATCCACTGGTACAGTGACTAGCCCAACTTTTCCATCAGATGAGCATTATTTGTTMAAATTTGTTCACTCGATGTGACCCCTACAACAGCGACTTACAAAGAAAAATAAAAGTCWWATTTGTTTAAAAAAGATCGGCATTTYGATAAATACTTTAGGGCTGTCAGTGGTCTTTTTTACAATCAACCCCACCCATTTAAGACCCCAAACTGATCCAAAGCAAACACCAATATACAAACACTGAAGTTTGGAACTAATTAGTTCTGATCAAACCTGTGGATTGGAAACACGCCGCCTGTCTGCCAAACTGTCTCAGCTCTATTTGAAGCTGTTAAATCCAATAAGAAGTGTGAATTACTTTAATTAGTGCTATCACAATGCTGTTCTGCCCATGTTAGCTTCTTTCCTTTTTGGCTGAGCTCTGAAACTGTTTACACATACACACACACACACACACACAGAAAGTCCTGTTTGTTAGGCTGCTGGTGCAGTGTGGTAATCGCCGACCCAGCATGCAGCAAGTGAAACATTGGCAGCAGCGTTAAGACAAACAGCCCCCTCCCTTTAGACCAAGACGACCCCCTGCTGTGGGCTAACAAGGCCATAGTAACCTCGCCTGCCACACACACACACACACACAGACACATCTCGTTTTTATTTCTTCTGCTGACAAGCAGCCATACATATGCATGTCGACACATTGTCTCCATCTTTCACGGCTACATCCAGTTTTCTACATTTTCACATTGTCAGACATCTAAACGGAGGCAGGAAGTCTTTCTCGCCTGTGGAGCACGAATGACCAACATTTGTATTGCACTTTCTTCAGGTTTTCAGAACCAAATGATGCATTGGCTTCTGATAAACTTATTGTCAAATTAAAGCTGTGGCATTGCTCAGAAAACAAGTTCACAGAGGTTCAGAACTGCTATGAAAAGGTGCGCCTGCTTTTCAAACAAAATCTCCTTTCTTGGAAAATATATAATAAAAAGTCCTGGTGATGTGATTAAAAACTTCAACATCCATTATGGAATATTTTATGACTTAATGTTTGATGCAGTTTAAAAATACAGTTTCTTAGATCTGTTTTGTTTTTTTTTAACAATAAAGCAAAATGAGTGAAATGAAAAATTGAAAAACTATGGTGTGAGAGGTTTGGCTTCGCAATGGATATATATTACATATACTGTATATGTAAATGGCTCAATAA